GTCCGGTTCAGTAATTAAACGTATGATTCAATATCTTCATTACAAAGTCACATGGCGTACTATTGTGTCTTCTTAGTGACGTGTAGATGGTCATAAGTCCAATACTCAAAGACAGTAAATCATTCAGTCAAAAAAAAGCAAAAGAGTAGGATAAGTTTGGAAGGGTTTTGGATGTCATAGAAGGATAGGAACATATAAATTAAATATGACACAAAAGACACTTATCGCTCTATTGCGCCAGACTGATGATGTTAGATCTTGCCTCACTCATTTGCCCCAGACTTGTCAGTACTTTTCTTTGTCTTAGCAGAGCTTCCATATAAGCTTGTACCCGTATAAAACATTAATAATGGATAGTAACACTCAAAGGGGAATGAAGTATCTTATAAATTATTAATAGAATGTATATCCAAGGCGTTTCTTTTTTGGTTTGTACATTAATATTCCAAGAATCTTGCTGTTCAAAGAAAACAATATTTCACAATCTTAGCTTATCTTTCAGACAATATGGTGGCATTTGTTTAATTTTGCTTCCATAAAAAACAATGTTCATACATACCTACATTAACAGATAAATACATATATGCAGTGTATAAGGACGCTCGGGATAATGTCTGTATATCCATTTATCCACCTGAATTTGACCCATAAATGGATTTTAAGATATCTCCTCATTAAATTAACGTCTCAGTACTCAATAACCCAGACACCTTGCAGAATTCAGGTTTCAAAACAGCAATTTGACACCAGGTCATTAGGGAAACTGTTTCAAGAATACTCATTTTACATGAAACCCAACCTACCATGATTGATTCAGGGCTGTAAAAAGTATGTTTAGAGTTAATCATGAACAAAGCTCTCATAATTAGTATACACTGTGCACTCCACATCTACTGATAGTGACAAAATAAAATGAAGTGCTGATGAAAGAAGATGTTGGCTTTGAAACAACATCCAATTTACTGCCCTCTATCTATTTCAGCTCTATTTGTGATCAGCCAGTTAATATTGGTTTTATCCAGTTGTATGAGCAGACGAAGGGCAAATTTAGTGTCAATTTACAGCTATCTCTGAAGCATAAAGAATATGAGCGCTTCAAATTTTCAAAGCTATTTAGTTTTATTTTACCTTTCTATAAATTCTAAGATGTAGGAAGTGGATTGTTCAAAATCGCATTAGGAGGAAAAAAAACCTGTTCTTAAGATGAAAGGATGCAGCAGGATAAAAGCTAGTGAAAATAAGGTTAATTTTCTGCCTCATTTCCTGAAAGGATAAATGAGATGAGCACTCAGTGCAATTCAGATCAGTCTCAGCAGAGCCTCAAACAAGAGCTGGCCACCAGCCACCAGGACAGTGATGTTATTTAAAACTATCTAACGATATTCGCTCTCAGGACACGTACAGCATATGGCAGTATTACCACTGCTAATGTCATATCATTTATTTATTTAACAAAAGTATAAAAAAAAACACACAAAAAGATTTCAGATATGTGAACCTTTTCAGACAACATAAATTGAAATTTAGTAGGAAAATACAATTTATAGAGTATAACTGGTAACTGGATTAAAAAAGCTGTCCGTAAGGGCAACACGCAAGCTCAGTGAGTCACACAGTTACCTTATTTTATAGGATTTTGGGTTTGAATCCCACCACTGTTGAGATTGGATCTTCTCTCACTGTTGTGACTGGTGTCTGGTGTCTTTAAACTGCCAGTAGAGTATGACTGTGGATGTGACCTCTCACAGACTGGTACCCCAGCCTTGTTCTCTGTAATGCCTAGAATAGGTTTTAGTCTCTCTCCCTCACTCACCCTCCCAGGGGGCTAAGTCTTTGTGCCCGTGATCGGAAGATCACCGATCCAAGCCCCAGCTTCAGCAGAACACTCGCATGTCTGTGGGCCGTTGAGCAAGGCCCTTAACCCCCAGCTCCTGAGGTGCCGCATGTTGGCTGACCCTGCGCTGTGACCCTCCCCCAAAGTTATGGAAAGCAAAATGGGGTGGGCAAAGAGAAGAATTCCAATGTACTTGCACTCATACTTGCACAAATGGCAAATAAAGGATTAAGGTGGATGGAATTCTTTCTCTCAAAGAAGTAAAAAAAAAACTGAAGACTTTCTGGCACTATGGCTGGACCTAAATATAGCGAGCGCACACAATTGTAGTGGAGAAGTACTAACCTGGATTTACTGGATAAAAATGGTGCTACTTAAATGAAACTCTCTAAATGCATGTATCATTAGACCATCTGAGTGGAAAAGAATCATAAGAAAGCTTTACTGCTGTCCGACCATACATGGCCGGTCAATCCCATAGGCGACATAGGCTGTTGCCTAGGGCAGCAACTTCTGAGGGGGCGCCAGCCAGTTTCAATTTGTCGCAGATGGGGGGTGCTGGTGGTGATGCTTGCCTACAGCGCCACATTGGCTGAGACTGGTACTGCATCCATATACATATACAGGATGAATTGGAATGAAATGAGATTCCCCCATGACCACAATGCAACATACATACTAGACAGGCAATACATTAACAACAGCAAGTGCGGAAATGCAAGAAATTAGATTAATAAAAAACAGGACTGGACCATCATAGGTACTGCAATATAAAAATAATTATGTAGCAGTTTGTGAAAGTAGCCATAACTACTGTCATAAACTTGGTCTACATTTTTCTTCTCAACAGAGAATGAACCATTTTAGGGCAAATAGATAGAAGATATTTCCAGGGAATAGGGTCCAGCAATGCATGTGCTAGCGGCCAGGATTGGGTCTGCAGACAAGTGGCAGCATGTTCACAGAGCACTAAATTCAAAATACCCCACATGACAATGAGAAATATATGATTCTGTAAAGCACACTGTCAAGCAAGTGAAACCGTATACATTGCAGAGGGGCACCGCATCCCAGCCCCACCAAATTCACCATCATTATTGACTCTATAAATATAAATTATATTGTGCCTAACACACCAACACCCCACCTCATGTCTGTTTACAAAAAGCAGAATCCAGAATAAAACTATGCAACTTTTACATTCATAATTGCTCAATATGTGTATAAGTATCACAAGAGATTAAGCTAAGATCAGGTTTCTGATTAAACCAAGACACAAAGACGTGAGAATTCTATTGTAATGCTCCAAGCATTTAAAACCATCTAATGCACTCCCCCTTGTCCTTATCTCTCACTTCCCCATGAACAATAGGTCATGCCAGATCGAAACAGGCAGCTTCTCCCAGACAGACATTTCTGCCTGGATTTGGGATCAATACCAATCACTAATGTCTTAAGCTCTTTATTAATTATTCAACAAGACAACACAATGACATCATGCATTGCATCAACACCAAGTCATGTGCATGCACACATATGAATGCAATACTCACTACTCATTTGATAGATAGATAGATAGATAGATAGATAGATAGATAGATAGATAGAGGGTATAGGGAAAACCCTGAAATACCTAATAATCTTAAAAAACACATTAAATATTACAATATGAATAGAGAACACAAGTACAGTATGCTCCTCTAAAATTATTTGGGAAATATTTAACAATAAAAGCATATGTTCTACAATAGAGGACAGCATGGTTCAGATTTAGATTATAAATGAAATGGGCAGTGGTAACAGGTGGTGTGAGTGAGAGTGAGATGGTTACCCTGGAAACACTACTTAATTAGATCCATTTAGGCAAGACACACCTGGGGTTTGTTGTTAAGACCAGTATAGGTGGATGGGTGTCGCCCATCCAAATAGAGCGAGGGAGCTGAGGAGGTACTGTAGAGCCAGACAATCTGCTAATGTGTGCTCTCCGATGTGGCAGAGGTGTTTATTGCATGTGGCCGCTGCCTCTTTATGGGCGTTTCTATGAGGATGGGGAGCTGCCGAAACGGTAAGCCAGAACTGCATGGGAACAGGCACGTTGTTGGGGTGGCGTGTCACAAAAACGCCACTCGCCAAGCGACAGGAAGCACTTCTACTCCGCAGACCCATGAAGGGGCAACCTTAGTGCTAGAAGCTATGACGTATACAAGCAGTGATTCCGCTCATTTCATTCCAGTAAGTCGTTACCTTTACTATACGGCTGCGATTAGAAAACCCCTGAGGTTAGAAAAGAGCACAGAGCATTACCTCAGTGAGATATTCCTTTAACTCACCAGTCAAACATCTGCCCGTGACATCTGCATGTCATTGTCGACTGCAAGGCAGAGGCGGATAAGGACCGGACATAGACACTGTCTACTCCAGAATTTTAATTTTAAATTTCACTAAAGCAAAAAAAAAAACTCCTAATTATTTGGAAGTGATTAGGCAAATGGCTGAAGTGTTTTTGCCAGCAAACGGATGTCAGGGCAGCTTAATTTCCTCAGCATTAGATACACTGAAAAGACACTGAGCATCTGTGGGCTGTATTGAATATCACTGCAAACCAATCGCACTTGTTTGTCTGGATTCAGACAACAGGTGGGACGATTAGGACTTATGACTATGAAGCCACAATAAATTAAAAATTGTGATTTGAAATGTACACACTCTACTCTGCATTCACTTACCAGGATTATTGAAATATTTTTAAACTCATGACCAATATCTAAAAGTATTAATTATCTAATTAATAAAAAAGTTTTAAAATAAAAGAAGCAAAAATACACAAATGTACAATTGTCTAAAAACATCTTGCTCTAATATCAAAATTATTTTAATCTACATGCAAATGTTAAGTGAAAATTGACATATATAATCACATAATTAAAATAAATGAATTGATAAAATTTATCGATGTGCCGGTATCATCACAATCAAGGGCCAAGAACTGCAATCTATCATTGACATCCTTAGAAAACTGTATGGTAGCCCTGTTTGAACACCCCCCCCCCCCCCCCCTTGTGCATGTTCACATGTCCCCCCAAGTTACACAGGATTCATTCCACAGTCCAAAATCGGCTGTAGTTTGAGAGTGGGCGCTTGTGTGTACCCTGGACTGGCAACTCACCCTGGGCGTAGCCGTGCCTTGTGCCCCTTCCTTACTCTTTGGGATAAATGGTTGGAAGATCGATGGATGGTTGGTGCTCCCAGAAGACATGTAAGAAAAAATAACGTGGGTCTAGCAGAAGACCCAAAGCCACAGAGAGGATGTATGAAAATAAAGTCTGAATAAAATCAGCTCCATTAACAAACACTCTACACTGATAAAAGCACATAGTACATGTAAAGGGAAAACTAACAGGAAACTGAATTTAATTTTTTTTTAAGACTTTCACATTAAATCAGGAAATATTAGTAGAGATGAAAATGTAAAGTGAATAGCATAAGGGCAGAACATATATACTTATTATCTAGCTATATATATACATATATACCTCTTCCTGATTGCTTTTACTTTAAATTCATTTAAAATGTAACATACGTGCATCTAAGTAATTTATACGTCATAATTTACCTTTTATGTGAAGCATGGATACGTTCGTCCAGGATTCTGTGCCAGAATTAAAATATATATATATTTAACCCAGGTACAAAATAATATAAATAAGCCAAATTATATACCCCTGTTGTCTTACATGAGCTGCTATACTATGGTCATAATGAGCCTCACAGTGGCATGTACTATTCTAAAACTAACTCAGAATAATTTACAGGAGGAACCACAAGAGGGCAGCATTTGAGCACATAGCAGAGGCTTAAATTAGTATAATGACAAAAACAACATATTGACACAACAATCTGAAAGGATTCAATCACATATACTGCTACAAATGTAAAATGATCATATAGATTATTAATCTACAATCTGTATTATTTTAAACACTCTTCAAGAAGTTGCCACATCAATGTTACCTATCTTTTGTGCACCCACTGCAACTACTGGACACCATCATGGTGAATTACGTAGCACCAATCCTACACTGAGATGGATTTAGCATATTTTAAAATTGATTCCTTTGTCAGCTAGTCTGTTTATTGCAAATTTTTTTTCTGGACTTTCGAGCGATATTTTTCAGGTCAGGGATATTGGGGAAATATATGTCTGTCCCGTCAAAACATTTTCAAAGTTTAAGTATAAAAAAGATAAGGTATGTATTACTGGATGTACTGACCTGCTCACTCGTCCTCTAGCCAAGGTGAGGTGTAGAAGGACACCCTGGTGACCACCCCGCTCCAACCTTCACCCTGTGCCTCTTCTGCACCAGCAGTCTCTCTCGATCACAGCAGGCCGTAACCGGAGCCATCTCTGACTGCTAGCCAGAATGACCGGCTGCTCTCTTTGGCCCCGCTGTGCTCCTCATCTCTGGCTAGCACCGGCTCAGGCCACATGGGTAGATCTCTTCCGCCTCATCTAGCAGGATGGCTACCTCATTATAAAACTACCGTAAAGTATTTGCACCGTGGAACGAAACAGAGTAACCTCCCCAGATCGGAGTGTGGAACACACATCAGTGCTATGCTTGGTCTAGGTCACAGTGTAATGGCTACCTCATATTCATCTCAGAAAATTTAAGCACTCATATTCTTGATTCACTTTTGTGGCATAAATCTATTATTGTCACAATGTTTGGGATAAGACCTATATGTGGTGAATTCCACAACTGGTGGAGGGCATACGCCCTGAACTGTTCTACCAAAACAAAGAAGTGCAATTATTTGAAGGCAATCACACAACGACTTTCAGATACACAGGGTGAGAGGTGCCAGGACGCCCATGGAGCGATGCACAGGCCCTGAGACAGGAATATTGCTTCTCTGCTGGATGCAGCTTGGAATGCAACTCCCCATATGAGACAACAGGGGGAGGAAAACCAAAAGAGGCTTTTCAAGGACAAACTTTAAGAACCACAAACTGGAGATTCCAGGATAAAGGGTCCCCTTTATAAATGTGGGTATACTCCTAACTTCCCTTTGCTGTCCCGGCACACTACAGTAAGTTACACTTTGCGCTCAGTTGATGAAAACTACGGTGGCCAGAAAAGATCATAAAAGGGGGTATCACAAACTTGTCTGCACTGGAACCATGCAGTAGTAAAAACTACTTATGCGATTAATCTAAACAGGTGTTAATATGTTTGAGATGGTATGTTAACTCAACAACGAAAAAAGAATGTCGAAAAGTAAATATCAAACTTTTTGCAAGACTGTTCTTTACAGTAACATTACTATGCAGTTCTGTTGCTGATATTGATTACTGTGTTTCTTAAACACAGAAATTTCATAGAACTTTTAAAAGTCTGGTTAAGGGTGATGTTACTGATGTGCATAAATCACTATAGATGGAACAAAAGTCAATTATTTAAGAAATATATACCTCAACAGATGTATTTTTGGTAATATGACCTCAGCCACACAATTTATGTTTGTTTGTTTCATAGTTACTTATGTTCTAAGTGAGATATAAGTGAGGCAGATAATACATAACAACCATGTTGTCATAGGTATACATGCTGCTAGGATGAGCTTCCAGTTCGGATGAGTGGCCAGTTACTAGTGCATGTAAGTAATGAAGCAAGAGCTAAGACATTTTAATAACTTAACATTGGAACTGCTGTTAAAATCACCACACCATGATGCTCTCTGGAACTCAGGAAGAGCCAAGGCAACAACACATTAGACCAAGTGATTTGCATGATTAATATTATCGTACATTTCACAAAGTAAAAATGGAGGGGGGGAAAGCGTAGCATTTTTTTCGGAGAAGTCAGACAAAAGATACTTTAGAAAGGATTCTGGGATGTTTCACAAATATGAATTTTATGGGTATCATATCATTCTTACATAAGGCTGACATCTGCAGTGAAGGCAACTCAAGAGGTACACTGACACCTAGTGGCCAACAGGCAGCACTTTCTTCATGGTAATTGGGGCTGTGTGTTGACTGACTGAAGGGAACATACAGTACATTATCAGACAGACTGCACATAAAATGTTCCATTCAGCTTACTTTAAAGATCAAATCATGGAGCCACATCTTCAGTGCTGCACCAGAACAATGGAAGAAAACTTTCAGAATATCATCTCACGATTATTCACCCGATGATGACCAATAAAATATACATAAAATATTCTTTTTATATCATATCTTGCACTTTTTTCAATTGCCTATTTTAAGCCAACATGGGGGAAAGTAATTCAGAATTCAGGGATTCATTTGTATAGTGAATTTTTTTAAATCAAAATCTACATAGTATAAGTAATTGCTTCTTTTGGACACTGTGACCCTGATTACACAACTTGTGCTATTTCATTTGTGCTACATAAAAATAAAATCAAATAAACAAAAACTGGCAGTTCTGTGAAAGATAAAAAGTCAAATGTCTACTTTGAGAGGATACAAAGAGGCAGATATATCACTGTTCATTCTGTTCAGTGAACAAAAATTCTACAATTTATCAATATGAAAATTTCTAAAACATGTATATATATATATATATATATATATATATATATATAACTTCAGTAAAATATAACTGAAAGCAGCAGCAACAAATAAATGTTCATGCAAATTATGAATTATTGTTTACTTAGTAAAACAATAAACTAAAGAAAGTTTCTATTTATTAATTAAATACTAATACAAATACTTTCTTATAAATGCACGTACATTGTTATACATGCCATACAAATAGGAAAGATTCTGCAGATAGAATAAAGGTCCTTGGCTCTTAGAGAACACGCACACTCTTATTTGTCAATAATGAAAACGTTCCTTTGTTTTTAGCCTGGGGTCAGTACGTGGTCTAGCTTTAATGACTTGAGGTCCGTAGTTCTGGGGGGTGTTCCACATAGCTGTGGCCTGTACTACGATCAGCCGGGGTTACTAGCTTATCGGGGTAACTTCACGGATTTAAGATAGTCTGGGCAAAATGTAAGTGAACGAATATTGAGTCCATTTAAACTGTGGTACCTTATATCCGACAAGTTACCCCGATAAGCCAGTAACCCCGCTTCATAGTACAGGCCACGTACAGGATTCCTCAGTTTGCAGGGATAACTTAAGCTAGAAGTCAAGACTGTCCAATAGGAATGCTCTTTACCTAAACTCATATTGGACAATTATTACTTCTAGCTTAACCCAGCTAAAAGAGCCCCCAACCCGGTAAATTTTAATTAGTAGGTCCTTGGTTTAAGAAAGGTTGAAAATCCTACTACGTAACGTAACAAAATCCCATCATTACTTTTCAACCTAGCACCCACCGGGGGACGTTCAGCTAGAGTAACAGACATAACCCAGAAACAGATATAGAGCCCCCGTGTAATATTCAACTCTCATAGGATCCGTTCGTATTAATCTTCGTAAAAGATTATACTGGTCTAAAAACGTCTTATTTTTATTTATTTTGTTATTAATATTCATATCATTTCCGATACTTACTGTAATACGACGATGCAGTATAGGCTACTTGTATATAAATACAGTTTTCTGCATCACGTATTTCTTTAACTGACATATCTTATTCAAGTTACTCACTGAAGACTGGACAATTTGGGACTAGCAACAATTAACAACATAAAGAAAGCTTTAAACGAACGTACATAAACCAGGGTTGCCAACTTTGGTCACCTATACAGTAGGTGCACACACACACACGTACACACATTTACATGTATGTTACCTTTCTATTACCTTGTAAATACTGTAGATGTACGGTTTGCAAACTGCTCCAACACTTTTGATGTGCTAATTTTAGGTTTATAATGAAATAATATAGATTTGCCGTAAGATTTCTTGCATGAGAGTCTGGAGGAGCGAGTGTCACGCCAGATGCGTGAGATTTGGCAACCCTAATGAACTTTGATCAGTCATGTGATCCAAGGAAAAAAAACGAATCTTACCAACAGAAAATGGGGGAAAAAACTAAGTTTTTAAATTTGTTTGGTCGAATTAGATCTGTTGTGATTGGCATGATTCACGTTAAGTCCTTACCAGGTTAGGTTTACCTTAATGTTCAAGTGTTTAAAATAGCTTTTGTAAATAAACTACGCCTATTGTTTAATGTTGAAATAACAATTTTCCCCACAGGAAGTCCTTTTAACAAATCAAGTGTTCCTGCAATAGTTGAAGATGCATGTCGCGAAGCAGAGATCTACAGTTATGAAAGAATCGTAAGGATTACTATTTTGTTGTGTATATATCGTCATATTTGTCACTACAGGATCTGAGTCGAACGTGTATTTGAGTCGCGCATGCGCTGTTGATCTGAATCATCGCAACAACTTAAAACTATTTCAGTAATAAAGGACTTTAGATCGTCTGCCAAATATGCATCCTTTTCAGTTAAAAGTTTGAAGTTGAGGCCTAACTCATGTATTTGCATAAGTTTTCATAAAATGGCTGATTACCTTTAATTATCTGTATTGACACTGGCAAAGTCCCTCACGGGAAATGGACAATACGTTTTATTGTATTTGGTTGCTTTTTGTTAGTTTTCGGTTTTAGTTATTTTAGTGAGTTTTAGTTTGTAGTTGCTTTTGTATTTGACTCTCAACGCTGGCGCTTGCGCGACTCAAATCCACGGATTTTGACTCTGATCCTTCAACTGCAGCATTTATTAGTAAATTATACTTATATTGTATATGGTCTGCATATTGTAACTGTCTGCAGCCTGGTAAAATTCACCGCTTTTCTGCATACCTACTGCCGTATATTCACATTACTCGATCATCATGAATCCGCGGGTTATAGGACTGATCGGTTGTATTTCCCTGACACCCACGGAAGTATTTGAGCTGTTTTTGAACAGGACGGTCTCATCATTGAAAATATGCACGACCTTCCCTACACGCTGGCGGTGGGTCCGGAGGTGTGCGCTTCCATGACAGCAGTTTGCGCAGAAGTCAGACGGACTTGTCCGTCTCTTCCCCTGGGGATACAGATCCTTTCTGCAGCAAATCACCAAGCCTTGGCTGTAGCTCTGGCATCAGGTGCATAATCTGTCGGCTAAGCTAACATACAGCCAAGAATTTCAGAGAAGGTTGTGCGCATATGTTTACTTAATTTTTTTCCAGCTCTTCTCGTTTTAACGGGATATGAAAATGAAACAGACTGTCAAAGACCATAAAACTAAATATTTGGAAATAGTTTTACAAGTAAAGGACTGATGCGCACATTACAGTAGTGGCCGACAGCGTTAAATCTGTTCTTTTTCTAATAGGCCTTGATTTCATTCGTGCTGAAGGATATGTCTTTTCTCACATTGCTGACGAGGGTCTTATAAATGGATGTGCGGGCGAACTGCTAAGGTATCGCAAGCAAATAGGAGCTGAGCACATTCAGATCTTCACAGATATTAAAAAGAAACACAGGTAAGCTGTGCCAGCCTTGTGTAAATGGAACAACCATTCTGATCGTGCTTATTATTTGCAAATTACTTTTTACATCGTTATGTTCAGGAACTAAGGTCTTAGGGACATTAAACAATAACTGGGATACTGATTAACACAGGGGTCTCCAGCTCCGGTCCTGGAGAGCTAATGTCCAGTAGGTTTTCTATCCTACCTGGCTTCTGATGAGCCACACCTGTTCTCAAGTAACCAGGAACAGTTGCAGCTTATTAGAAGTCAGGTACTGTAGAATAGAAAATCTATTGAATAGTAGCTCACCAGGACCGGAATTGGAGACCCCTGGATTAAAGTGTATGAAGTATAACAGGGGTGTCAAACTCCAGTCCTAGGGGGGGGGGGGCGGAGCCCTGTGTAGCTTAGTTCTTTCCCTGTTCCACCACAAATGATTCAGCTCAAGAGCTGTGCGCTAATTAGCACAAGGAGTTGAATCAGGGAAACCAAAAACTGTGTAGGATTTCGGCCCCCCAGGACAGGTGTTTGACACCCCTGAAGTAGAAGTTTAAAGACAGACAGATGATGGAAGTGCACTTTTTAGAAGGATAAATCTTCTCCTCCACCTTTTCCCTCCAGCTCCCACGCTCTTACATCAGATGTGAACGTGGTGGAAACAGGAAGAGCAGCAGAGTTCTTCCTCTCAGATGGATTGATCCTGACAGGAACAGCCACGGGAATACAGGCCAATCCGGCTGATCTCCGAGGCAATTCCTGCTACTTACACATATTTATTAGTCCTTTTATTACAGACTGTATGCATCTTTTTCAGTTTCATTTTCCGATATTTTCCCATGATGGGACTGGTGGTAGACATTAAATAGAGAAATTTCCAAAGTAGTCCACTTTGAGGACTTAACACTGCATGGGTTTCATGTGGCATGACGTCACCGTTGCACTGTGAGGGGAAAAAATACCAATTTGTAACTTGAGTAAAATTACTAGTTACTGGGCTTGTACCCTCAAGGGTCTGCTAACTGTAGTCTAGCATAGGTAAATGCACCTTTTAGCCTAATTTAAGGTAGAGTGGACTCTGAGGAACATTTTCCTACCATTGGGGGTACATTCATGTTGTTTGTACCTTGGGGAACAAAATGTACCAGGGCTGTACCATTTTTGACAGTATGGTTCCTCAAGTTCCTCCAAATAAGTTTGCGCAGGATATTTTGCTGTACCAGTTTAGGTTAAGGACCTTATTTGAGAAATGTACAGCAATATAGCTTAAGGTTCAATTTCTATCCTTTAGATGAATTATCCCTAATTGGCGCTGTACCTGGCAAGGCCACAGTAGCTAGGTGTTGATTCAGAGGAAAATCATGAGATACCATTACAAAAGTCAGAGGGCAGTTATGCCATTATACCAGTCCTCAGCATGGTGACATTTCATTAGCCTGCATATCACCTGCAGTCTTAACTTTGCTTCATCGCTGCAAGTGAGGCATCGCTGAAGTTTCACCAAGAGGGTCTCCCTTTACCTTCATAGCCTGTAGAGTAATATCTAATCAGCCAATCATGTGTCAGCAGCACAATGTATAAAATTATGCAGATGCAGGTCAGAAGCTTCAATTAATATTCACATCAGACACCAGAATGGGGAAGAAAGGAGATTTAAGTGTTTTTGAAGATGGCCTGGTTGTTGGTGTCAGACGGGCTGTTATGAGGATTTCAGAAACTGCTGACCTACTGGGACTTTCAAGCATAACCATCTCTAGGGCTTACAGAGAACGGGCCGGCAAAGAAAAAAAACATCCAGTCAGTGGCAGTTCACTGATTAAACAGTCACCAGATCTCAATCCAGTAGAGTACCTGTGGGATGTAGTGGAACGGGAGATGTGCATCATGAATGTTCAGCCAACATATCCGCAGCAACTGCCTGATGCTATCATCTTAACATGGATCAAAATCATTGAGGATTTTTCAAGCACCTTGTGGAATCCAACCTGATACTAACATAGTGTATCTAATAAAGTGGCCAGTGAGTGTATATGACAGCTGAAGAGTTGTCAGTGGCCTATATTCTGAAATATATATTTATGTATATTTAT